TAAACAAACACTACCTACCTTTGCGCAGTGTATTTAAACCTTCACTCACTCAGTTTAGCTTAAACTTTATTGCATACTTTTTGGTTGCCACATTTAATACAACAAAAATTGCGTTTTACACAATTTCAGTGATGCTTGACAGAGTTCCTGGCTGGGGCTCTGGTTGTGCTGTGTTGCTTGTGCTGCTTGCCTTTTCTGTCACGTTTGCGCTGGTCCTTGTTGTGCTTTCTTGGACCGAACCGAAGTCGTTTCTGATGCGGCGGGTTGCCAAACATAATTGCAGCAGGCTCCGCATGAACGAGTACCTCTGTCGAATTTGCCTCCAGCTGTGGGCATAGGAATTGTGCAACTGACTTTCAATGAGTGCAACTACGTACCTCTACAGAGCTGTGATGTCTGCTCTCGCTAAACAGCAGCAAGCCACTCAACAGACTCAAGATCAAGCAATAGCGCAACATAGCGCTCCGACTATATAGATATATGTTTCTATATATACTTTAGGTTTATTTCGTAATATGTCTACTTGTGCGTGCACTAAGCTCAAGCTCTTCACTTTGAATGATATGTCCAATGCATTATTGTTTACTACAGACCAGATTATCAAGTGTCTCTGGATGGTTTATGTGCATATAGATTATACGCTATATCCGCTGCTGAGGCAATGTTGATTTGCTCGACTGAAAGATGTGTTTTAAAATAGATATATATTTTTATAAATTTCATAAATATATTATATAGTTTAATTTAAATAATATTTCTTATGAAGAGTATAATAGTTGTTATATACATATTAATCTATAGACTTAGAAGACGCAGTCTTAAGACTCTAAGCATAGCTTAAGTTTTAAATATAAAAAAACACAAACTTTTAGCCACGTTAAAACTGCAAACTTGAGCTAAAATCTGAAGATCTTCATAGTTCTTAATAGATCAATATGTAACCCATGCAGCAAGTGTATAAAAACTTCGGTTTTATGAGCTCGTATTAAGCCTTTCCGTTCGGTTCATAAGACGTAGTACGCAAAATGCTTTTACTCCGATAAGAACTCTTTCTATCTCTCTCTTTTCGCCCTTCCCTTTTTGCACTAATTCTGTTTTTATTTGCTCTGTAATTCTGACATCCATTAACTAATGAAAATGATACTCTTTCTCTTCCTCTCAATATGTATGTATATTATAAACATTTATTTCTTTTTTCGCATTCTAATTTCATTGAATTTCGCCCAAATGCCCATGTGAATTACCCTTGAACCCTGCCCATTTTCCCATATGCCCGCCCCCGTTGGCTGTCATGCAAAGCGTTTGATGGTCGTATCCTGTCCTGTGACAGTTAATGGCAACGTCAACATCAACGTCAACATCCACGTCTGTCGCATTTTGTTGCTATTGCGCTGCTTGCGAAATTAACAAATCGATAAACTTTTATCGTTATGCATTTCGCTGCTCAGCTGCACATAAATGGAAATCCAATTGTCGAGCACATAAAAAAGGGCACAAAACATCCAATAAAACGGCGCTAGCAGCGCTTACAGCCAAAACGGTTCTGCACCTGTAGAGCTGCGGCCATATGGCTAATTTTATGGAGTTTACCTATTCATTTTCCAATTTTGTCCAAAACAATGTTTTTTAGCACAAAAGCCGCTGCGGCACAAAACTCTCGCCTAACTCAATTATAAACTGCAAGAGGGTTGCTGCGACTTTTAAATTGATTAGACGACCTTTTCTACTGCTCAAACACAATTTGGCATTTTTCCAAAGTTGCGTGGGCGTGGCAGCTGAACATTGTACTATAAGCAAATTAGTTGGCTGTCCTTTCAGCAAATATTATTTCTCTTTATTTTTCAATTTTTGCGGTTACTGCGACTCACTTTATTTTCTTTGTAATACTCAGAGGCGACAGATGTGACCCCAAAAAAAAAGCAACAAGCAGGCGTGGCTGACCACATTTGTGATCGGGACAACAAGTTGAGTCAATTAAGCCATGCCTGTCTGGCCGTAATTACGCTGCTCTCCCATTTTTATATAAGTATCGATCTCGGCAACATGAAAAGGACTTGCTAAAAAACTTCGAAAAATATAAAATATAATATAAAATATAATATATAATATAAAAAATAATATATATATAATACTGCAGGCAGTACAAGTCTTGGTTAGCTCCATTTATTTTCCCAAAGCGCAAACTCAATTAAATTATGCTAAAGAGTATATTCTTCAAAAGATCGTCTATATAAAAAACCAAAGATATTGCATTTCTTCTTTCCTATAGTATGTAAAATAGAAAGAAAGATGTACAGATAGGTATATAAATAAAGATCTATAGATGATAGAAATACTTATATATGTATACTTATAGATAGAAGGATAGATAGAAATATAGATATGTTTCCAATTCTATCTATATCTATATCTATTATCTGTTTACCTATATAAATCAATCGACCCATCTATTATCATGTCTTCAAATTTTTTATCAATATGGCTTTTAATTTATATACAAATATTAGCTATATATTTATTCGTTGATTTATATAAATTCCTTTTACTAATTTATCTATATTTATACACATTTTTCCTTATATATCTATTATTTATCTATTTTTATATCTAACTATATATACTCTGTTTACATATTTATGCATTTATATCCATCAAATATATTTTTATCTTCCATCTTTATCTCTTTTTATTTGTATATCTATTATCAACATATTTATCTGTCCATATATCTATCTTACGCCTATCATAAAATCTATATATTTATATATTTCTCTGCATATTTATTCATCTTAAAATCTATCCATCTATCTATCTCTTCACACATCCACATCATCAGCTCTCCTCAGATTCAACTCTGATCTTCATGCATTTGATTAATTTATTAATTATAACTGCCATAATAATATCTAATACAATATCAATATCTTATAATATGATTGGATAACATGTCCATTTCAATATCTTCTTCAAATATAATTTACACCTATCTACTGAATAATCGTCTCAGTTTTTGTTGCAATTTTCAATGTCAAATACATTTGGCAATTTCTTTACATTCACTTAACATTTATGTAAACACATACATATGTATGTCTACATGCATATATATCTCTGTATGTAGTTCAAGGTTAACAAAAATCGGCAAAGCTTCGTAATGGACTGTGCAAATAGCGATAGCAGCAGAGACAGCAACAGTGAAGCCTCGCTGTCTTCTGCTGACTGTTAAACATCATCATGAATATTAATGCGACATATCGCACACATATCAGCATGAATAGCATTAGCATTAACATTAACAGCAACAACAGCAACATCAGCAGCAGCAGTGGCAGTGGCAGTGGCAGCAGTCGCAGCAACCCGTCAAAGAGTCAAGTTCACTTTCACTACGCTGACGCATACTTCATCACGATGATGATGATAATGATGATCGTCATCATCAGCATTCAGTGTTGGCCAGTGACCAATTTTGGTCAGTGGCACAGTTGGAATCAGCAGCGACAGCCGCCAAACTCTGCATACAAATTGTTTGCTCTGTCTTTCGACTATTTTTGGCCAACTCAGTTTGGCCTGATGAATGGCATCGATTTGAATTTGGGCAGCATTAGGCTTGGCTCGGCTTGACTTGGCTCGGCTTGGATTGGCTTGGCTTAGCCATGCCCAACTCGTCTCCATTTGGCCCGCATTGCATCACTGCTCACGTTCAAAATTGGCCGTAGCCAGCATTGAGCCAGGTCTACGCCAGGTCGGCCTGCCTGGACTGCACGCGAATGACGAGTGAAAGCAAAGTGTGGCAATCAATGACGACATCAAAACGGCGACGACAAAAGAGACGAAGTCTGAAAGAGGCTATGAGCAGGGAGTACGAATAGTGAATGCCCTAACAATGTAAATTGTGAGTGCGATTTTTTTTAGATTTTCTATTTAATCTTACAAATCAGATCTTTTGGGTAAAAAAAATTTTGAGTTAAACAATGCTATTATTCAGAGAGTGACTTTGGAAGAGTTATGTTATATGATATAATTGACTATAAATTTTTAAAAATTTGTGCAATCAGGAACCTTTATGTAGACCAAAGCTTTAATTGATTGCGCAATTTGTAACTATATTTGAAGCAGCTTGATATCAAAAAATTTTGTTTTTTTCAATTTTTTTAATTTTGTCTTTAAGCCTCATCTTAGCCTTCATCAATCAAATTCTACATTAAACTAACAAATTACCTTAAACTATATATAATAATTATTATGATATATTTTTTCATAAATATAGATTTTTTTATATATTTTAATATTGTTATAAACTAGAACTGAAAAGTGTTAAATAAAATAGAGATTTGCATTGAAATTTTAATACATATTGCATAAATATAAAATATATAGTAGAAAGCAGAAGAATGCATATAAGAATATATAAAATGTATTATGTATTCTGAAGTATTCTTCTTCAATGTGTAACTTAGTTCATGATCTGCTTGCCATAACTCTAGTTAGGGTATACAAAACTGCAATATCAAGTTTGACCAGCTGCTGACAGGGATGTAAAAAAAAGTGAAACAGCTGACTGGCTGGCTGGCTGGCTGCCCGTCTGTATAACTGTCTGGCTGGCAAGCTGTCAGTTCAATCATTTGCTTAACTGCTCGCCTCTTCAATGGACACGCCCCACGCCCCTAGGGCTCAAGGGCACATGACGCTAGCTAAGTGCAAGCTCATACTATAAACCCAACTCTTCTTTATCTGTCTCTTTTTGTTCATATTCCCCCAGCTTCCATGCGATGAGTCACCATGGAGACAGCAGCAATAAAGTAAAATTGCAGTTGGAGCCGATCCAAGGCCATTTAAGGTCTTGGAACATTTCTGGCATTTGATTAATAAGGAAAACGCGCTAGTGTGTGTAAATATTTTAATAGCTTATTTAAATAGAAACATGTTTTTCAGACTTTTGTTAAGCACACACACACAGACACACACGCTCGCACACAGACACACTGGCATGCACACACGCACTCACACTAATTTACCGTTAGATAATTAGCAAAATATGTACAAATATTTAGAAACAGTTCAGTCCAATGCCCAACGGTTCCGCCCCCGCACCCCTTTCGGCTAGGCGCCAACTGTTATTGCAGATCTGACGTCAACACTTCACATTCCATCCTCGTCTCTATGACTTAATATGGCTCTCGATCCAGTAACGAAAAAGGGAAATCTGACGTCAACGCTTAGCATTTCCCTCTATCTCTACTTTTCTTCCTCTCCCTCTGTTGCGTTCTCCCTCTCTCTCTATGGCTCTATAATATTCTCAATCGAGCTGTTGGCTAATTGAAATGTCTTCCGAAGGTAAGTTGACGTCAACGTACCAGCCTTTCCCCTCTCTCCCTCTCTGCCTGTCGCCCTTCTCTCTGACTCTTTTTCTATAGCTTAATAATGCTCTCGATTCAGTTATTGTTCCCTTGAAATAGGCTTAAGGCAGAATTTGACTTCAACGTTTTACATTTCATTTTCATCTCTACCTTCCTCGCTTTCCCTGTCTCTATTCCTCCCCTTTCTTTACTCCGTCTCTATGTCTTAATTATACTCTCGATCCAGTTAATATAGCTCAGCACAGATGTATAGACGCCAGGGCCGGAGCCGCATTGGGTGAATCCGTAGCTAACAATGCCGTAAGCCACCCAGCGCGAATGCTGGCGATCGAAGAACATGAGTGGACCGCCGCTGTCACCGGCGCAGGTGTCTTTAGCCTTCTCGCCGCCGGCACAGAGCTGTTTGGGCCCCAGACGCACACCATACAGATCCAGCATCTTGCTGCAGTTCTCGCTGGACACATAGGGTATGCGCAGCTTCAGTTTGACGGGGCTGTGCGTATTAATGAAGTACTTGTTGACTGCAAGAGACAGATGGAACCGAGTTAGGCCGTAAGCTCTATGCCAGCTAGAGCAACACTTACAGAGATCGGTGCGTCCCCAGCCGGAGACGGAGAACATTTGTCCTTCGGTCAGCGGTGTCTGGACGGTCTTGTTGGGCAGGCAGATGGGCATGATGAAGTGCGTGAAGCTAACCGGATGCTTCAGCCGTATTATGGCTATATCATTATACTTGTGACTCGAGTACTCCTTGTACTCCGGATGCACATGGATATGCTCATATGCAATATCCAGTGCCGCATCCGCACAGCTCAAGTAGTTGGGCTCTTCAATGCAGTCCGGCTCCGTCTTGACGTTAAACTCACCTAAACGCACGTGTTTCCTATAAAATAGCACCTGAAGTTAATAGGCCCTAAATGAAGCACATTTCACAGACTTACAAGCCGCGACGTTCCCGCACGCCCTCGCCCTGAACGCAGTGAGCAGCTGTCAGAACATGCCGATCGTCAATCAGAGCTCCACTGCAACCGTAGTCGTCTATGGATAGAGCATTTGGAGAGATGAAAAGATTAGTTCAAGTTTATTTTTAACATTTTTTAAACTAACTTTGAGAACTTTTTCCATTCATCTTTCCCATCCATCCCTCGCCAAGGTCCCCAACTTACTTGAATGATAGACCAGCAAGGCCAGCCAAGGATATTCGTCAAGCTCTGCAATTTCTCCTCCATAGATGCGATTCGTGACCTGCTTGCCACACTCGTTGAGCAAATTGAAGCCCGTGCTGGGCTCCACGGTTTGAATGCGTCTCTTTAGCTTCTTCCGCTTGAAGCGCGCGGTGACATCCAGAAAGCGACGATGCTCAAACTTGGTGAATTGAATAACCGGATACAGATAGTCCTGGCCATTGGCTGGGCAACATACAAGCGACTTGTAGGCAGCATCGTCTGCCGCAGCAGCAGCAACAGTTGCCGTCGCAGCTTCAGTTATATTTTCTGCTGCTGTTGGTGTTGTTGCTGCAGTTGCATTTGCTGTTGTCTCCATGTCGCACTGCACCTTCTTCAGAAAGTTGACGCGCTCGGAGCTCAAATTGGTCACATTGCGCACCTGCAAATAGGCGGCGCATTGGCTCACCTGCACGCAAACGCCGCGCTTTGTCTCGTTTGGTATATCGCAGGCCTGTTGCGCCGGCTGAGGTTGAAGCTCGGCTTCGACGGCTGTGAAGCGCAGGGCAAGGGCGAGCAGTGCGCTGGCCACCCACAATGCGCCGTTGTTTGGGTAAGGGTACATCAGCGATCGGCCGAGTCCAAGTCCAAACAATGCGAGGCTTTAACAATTGCGACGGCAACGTCGAGGTGCAAACAAGGTTTGACAACAAATGGAGAGGCGGACAGCAGGGGGACAACGCGACGTATACGCAATCGCGAACGCGTCCAACGGCCAAAAGCAAATGTCGCGAATATCGAATTGTTGATTGTGGATTGTTGATTGTTGATTGTGGATTGTTGAGCGGCTTTGAAAACGCATACGAAAAGTGAATCCGCTCGCGTGAACGCTCGGCCGTGTATTAAAATCCAATTTGAATGCTGCGCGCAGCGGCGACAGCGACAGCCGAAACCGCAACTGAAACCGAAACCGATACCGAAACCGAAACTACAGCGGTGACTCGGAAGAGCCGAGGCTAAAAGTGCCAAAAACAAAAAAAATGAGAAGAAAACAAAAAGCAACAAAAATAAATAAATAAATAAATAAACGACGACAGCCCTCGCCAGCTTATGACACCAAAACGAGCCCAAAAACTGCAATCGCCGTTAACGAAACGGGAGCAACGGTCAGCGCTGTGGTTGTTGCTGTTGTTGTTATCGTCTCTGACGCTGCCGCTGCTGCTGCTGTTGATGTTGTTGCTGGCAACTGGTACGCGAGTCCGGTTATGCAATCAGCTCTCAGCTGTGCGCAGACAGCTCGTTTTTTTCTCTTTTCACTTTCATTCGTACTTCGAGCTGCCCGAATGAGAGTTGCCTACTTTTAGGAGAAGTTTTTAAAGCTGATAGCAGAAGCTTTTCAGGCAGATAAAGAGAGAGCTTTTGTTTTTGACTTATAAAAATGCAACTTGACCTGTAGAAGAGAAAAGAAGAGAAGAAAAGAGAGAGAAGAGAAGAGAAGAGAAGAGAAGAGAAGAAAGAGAAGAGAAGAGAAGAGAAGAGAAGACGAAGAGAAGAGAAGAAGAGCGAGAATATAGATAAGAGAACGATAGAATCATACAGAACGATATAATCGAGTAGAATGCTCACTCCGCTCCACTCCTCTCCTCTCCTCTCCTCCCTCTCCTCTCCTCTCCTCCTCCTCTCCTCCTCACTCTCCATCTCCCTCCTCTCCTCTCCTCTCCTCTCTCCTCTCCATCTCCTCTCCTCTCCTCTCCTCTCCTTCCTCTCGCTTCCTCTCCTCTCCGCTCCCTCTCCTCTCCTCTCCTCTCCTCTCCCTCCCTCTACTCCCTCCT